AAGAATTCCACTTCTAGGAATTTACCCTAAGAATGCAGCAGCCCAGTTTGAAAAAGACAGATGCACCCCTATGTTCATTGCTGCACTATTTACAATAGCCAAGAAATGGAAGCAACCTAAGTGTCCATCAGTAGATGAATGGATAAAGAAGATGTGGTACATATACACAATGGAATATTATTCAGCCATATGAAGAAAACAAATCCTACCATTTGCAACAACATGGTTGGAGCTAGAGGGTATTATGCTCAGTGGAATAAGCCTGGCAGAGATAGACAAGTATGAAATGATTTCACTCATATGTGGAGTATAAGAACAAAGAAAAGAAAAACTGAAGGAAGAAAACAGCAGCAGACTCACAGAACCCAAGAATGGACTAACAGTTACCAAAGGGAAAGGGACTTGGGTGGATGGATGGGAAGGGAAGGATAAGGGCAGGAAAAAAGAAAGGGGGCGTTACAATTAGCATGTATAATGTCACGGGGGGGGGCTTGGGGAGGGCTGTGCAACACAGAGAAGACACGTAGTGATTCTACAGCATCTTACTACACTGATGGAAAGTGACTATAATGGGGTGTGTGCGGGAGACTTGGTGAAGGGGTGAACCTTAGTAAACATAATGTTCTTCATGTAATTGTAGATTAATGACAACAAAATTAAAAAAAGAAAGCTTGTGAGGCATTTTGAACTGGCAGATAATGAAAAATATTAGAACAATAACCCACCATCTAGCTTTAGCAAATTTCCACATTTTGCTGATTTAGCTTCAGAACTGCCGTATTGCTTTCTTATTTTTGGAAAAAACAAAACATTGCAGATACAATTAGGGTCGCTTGGGAGTTCTTTCCAATCTCATTCTTTTCTCCCTTCCCAAAGTTTCTCAGTTTCATGAATTCAGTGGTTTTGTGATTTTATCACATATTAGTATACTTCATAATCATTGAAAAGAATCCATTTTGAAGATTTTTAAACTTAAACAAAATGATATCATCATGCAACTTGCTTTTTGTTTTTTGTTTTTTGGGTTTTTTTTGCTCAACATTATGATCTGTGATCCATCCATCCATCTAGTAGCTGTAGTTCTAATCTGAGATTTGTTCCAACAAGGACAATGTGCTTTTATATCATAAAAACTGCTAGTGGTATGCTTATCTTGTCAAAGAAGGAAAAAAATTTGGGGGTGGAGAGGTAAAGTCTGCAGGGGAACACCTCTGCTTAGTTTTCTCCTTAAGGTTGGGGTGGTAATTCGTGAGTTAGGAGCAAGGAGAGACTGAGAGAGGATTTATTCCCCCTTCTGGTGATGCAGAGGGCACTGTAGGATTCCACAGTGGCCCCAAGGTGTGGCTCTGAGTGTCAACTCTGACTGGTTGAGATCTCAGAAGCATTTTGCTTATTTAAATCCAGGTCTTTTGAGTTGCTTATCCGTGGATTCACCTGCTTGGCAAAGAGTTTCACACTGAAGGGTCTGTCCTTCATCAGGGGCTAGAAAGAGGTTCTAGAGGGGAGTTTGGAGCAGTCTTTGGAAAGACACGTGAGATAGGCTTGGTGATGAGGAATCACAGAATAAGAGTCAAGGTTAATTACAAGTGTCACTGCATGAGGGCATGAGTGGAGTACTGGGTGGGGGTGGGGAGTTTGGGAGGGGCAACACCTGATGCTTATTGCATTCATTGAGTATTTTGTATGTACCAGGCACGGGACACAAGGCTTATGTGCATAATCTTGTTTAATAAGGCTCTTAAAATTCCCGTGAGATAGGTACTCTAAAGGCCATCTTGCTGATGAGAAACGTCAAGAGCAGAGAGATAATTAACTGTTGAGGGTGGTGCATTGAGGGAGGGAGGAGCTCAACCTTAAGCACGGGTTTGTGTGACTCCTCCTCCCTGGGCTTCGCCCCCTCCTGCAGACCAGAGCTGACCAGTGAGGCTGCTGGAAGGCTGGATGGGACTGCAGAAGATGGAGGACTTGGCTGAGGTTAGACACCTGCCCGGAGGAACGGAGGAACGGGCACGGGCCAGGAGCGGAACAGACGCCTCCCCGAGGCTCACACAAATGTCAGGTCAGTTGTGTGTGCCGCATGAGCTGGTCTGCAGCCATAGCATTTAGAACTTCCAGGTTAAAGCCAGGTCTTTAAAAGCTAGGGAGTCCAGGCTGCCTCATAGGCCCAGGCCGGCTTGAGAAGGGCGGTCTCTAATGTGCTCAGGAATTTGCAAAGGCCCTGGCAAGTTAGGGCTAGAAGAGAGACCTCCGCCGGGTTATTCCCTCCAGTGCCTTCTTGGTGCATTGTGCTTGCTATTGATTAACGGAATTGCTACTTACTAATTAAAGAAGACATGGCAAAGTGCAATTATGAGATGAATCTCCTCAGTGTGGCCTTTTCGCCAACTCTGTCCAAAGGTGTATCCCACCCTCTAGCTGCTCCATAGCTCCGTCTGTTACATTTTTGTAAAAAAGTTTACATTTTTTAATAACACTTCTCTCCATTTGAAATTATCGTTTTCATGGAACTGGTTATTTGCAAGAAGACAAGCTCTGTGAGAACAGGGAACCATGTCTATTTGGCTTTCTGCTGTATCCCAGCATCTAAAACAGCTTCTGCTTGCCAGTGTTGGTTAAAGGAATGTGTGCTTTAATGAAATGAAAGATAGACTTTAACACACTAACCAACTACCCTGACAGACATTAATAAATGCACTATCAGAAAGGAAGAGGTTAGAGAAAGGTATGTGTGTATGTACAGTGCATAATATAGAATATTACATATTATAAATCTGACATATAAATACATTTCCAATAAACATAGATATATTAGTATTAATTCAAATCTTTCATAGACCATCCACAGTAGGAAATCCATGTCCTAGCTGGTTCCATGTTGCCACTGTGACCTCAGTGCTAGGCAGTGTAGGAATAAACCTTTTTCAAAGAAGAAATAACCAACCTGAATGCAGCATCTGCTGGGATTCCAAAGACTGTCCCCAACTCCCTCTAAAATCTACCTCCAGATGGCTCCTGATGAAGGACAGCCCTTTGATATGAATCTCCTTGCCATGCATATGAACCCATGGATGTCCTGGATTCCTTGAATTAATGAGGATGCACCAATTTAGGGCTCAGGTGTGGGAACCAGTGGGGATTCATCTCATTCTTTCTGCCCCCTACTTGCCTCTCCAGCCTGACCCTTTTCCCTCTGTTCTCTTTAAGATCTGGTGCTCCCCTTCACTGTGAGGAGCCGCTCCAGGAGGTGTGTGAGCGGCCCCTTGCAGGAAGTGGCCAGGAGGCGGCTGGAGAATGAGGACCAGGAGGTGCATGCGTGTGCTGTGTAAGGTAAGCGTGGCCTGAGCGGTGCAAACTCTGAGCTGCCTCCTGTCTGTCCACCATGGGCTCGCCAGCATCTAGGACAGCGACAGGAATAAAGTAGACCCTCAAGGAACCCTCTGACTGAACAAATCAGTGAATGAAAATGCACACATTCTCTGCTCAACAAGAATGTGCAGGAACTCAGAATGGGGCGAACGCTGGAGTTGTAGCATCAAAGAAAACTGTTTCAAATCTGCCACTATTAGTTGTGTGGCCTTTGGCAAGTTACTTAACCTCTGTAGAATGGGAATGGTACTGCCTAGCTCAATAAGTATACTTTCTTTAATATGGAAAATTTGAACTTTATTGTTTTATTATTGTTATAAAACATACATAATATACATTTTCAGTATAAATAATCTTAAGTACAATTCAGTGGCATTAAGTGCATTCACATTGTTGTGTCATCAGTACCACTATCCTTCCCAGAACTTTTTTATCATCTCAAACTGAAGCTCGGGACCCACTAAACAATAACTCCCCTCTATCCCTTTCCCTCAGCCACTGGCAATCACTAAGCATACATTATTTTAAATGGCAAAATTACCAATCAGCATTTAATGACTATAAATATTAGAATGAGAGGAGGAAAGGACAATAAAGTAAACAAACCAGTTGCTCATCTTTCATGGTGGGTAGATGGGATCTTCAGTGGCTAAACCCAGAAAAATGGTATGTGAAACTGCTTACAGGTTAGGAGGGCTTCCTGGGAGAACTGAACTCAGAAATGGTTGCAAGTTGTTACAACTAGAGGGGGCAGAAGGAGACTATTACTTAATCTGATAAACTAATATGTCCTAGTTATTTTTACAGTCTCTGCATTAACTTGATAGAAAAGAGAGAGAGACAGGCTCTACTCATCTGTCATGTAACAAAAATGGTCATGTCAGCTTTGTCGGGCGGAGCAAACGAGATGGCTCCGTGCTCAGGTGGGGGCTGGCACTCCCTAAGTAGTAAAGTATAAATAGTAGTTTGCATTTTTTAATTTCCAGAATTCAGAAACTTGGAGGCGGTAGATGCAAATTGGCACCGTGGAGTTTCTTCTGATGTAAGTCACTGTTGGCACATCCGAGGGTTGGGTTTGGCTGAGTGTGCCGGCCTGCTGGGCTGTGGCGTGAGCTGGAAGCTTCGGGACGACACCGACACCGAGGCCCTGAGCGCGCCAGACCTCAGGTCCAGTCAGGGCGCCACACCCTCCTCACTGCTTCCCCTGCCAGGGCCCCACACTCCTTGGTCACCGCACAGAGATGGTGCCACTTTCTAAGAAACCTGAGGTGCCGTTTGATTAGAAACTGCAACGCTGAGTTGTTTATCTCCAGGAAAGCAAGTGAATACTGCCAATCAAATATGATGCCAGGCTTCTTTACCTTTTATTTCCATAATGGTTAAATGTGGTAAAAGTGCATCTAAGAATGGATTAAGTACTGTAATTATGTTCTTTTCACAGGGATATGGTGAGAATTGAATGAGGCATTGCTCACAAAGCTCTTGGCGAAGCGCCTGCCAGTTAGTCAATTCCCTGTGAATCAGGTTTTACCTAGAACCCCTCCCCTGACTCCCAGGATCTACATCCTGCAGGAATCCAGGGCCACCTGGGGCCTGGCCTGAGAAAGCCTCTGGCTCGGCTCTGCTGACCTCAGGGGCTCTGCCTCCGGGTCCTCTGCTCTCTTCTTCCCCCAAGCTTCTCCCAGAACAGGGCTCCGGGATTGACCTCGGATGGCCAAACCTGGCCCGCGGGGAGAGGGACATCCTGCCCACCACGTGTTAGTCAACCCAGAGGCTTGGACAGCAGTGGAGAAAGTTTTTAGGGAAAAACCAAGTGTGCGCAGTGATTTCGGCCAGCTTTGTCAGTATTTCAAAAAGGGGAGGGGCTTGCTGCCCGCACATGTGGATTGGCACAGCCTTTCTGGGGCCGTTTGCCTTCCTGCATTTTAGGTTTGAAAATGTGAATATCCTTGCATTTCTAACCGCACTTCTCAGAACTACTTGTGTAAATAGTCAAAGATGTGTACAAAGACTTAGCAACAGGATGTTTATTACAGTACGGTTGAGGATATTAAAAAAAATTAAAACAAATGGTCCCCATTAAATCAAATGTCTGCCCATAAAAGAATTTTAAGAATTAACTATGTTAATGCAGCAGTGGCATATGTAACCATTAGA